GCGCCCTGGGCCAAAGGCAGGCGCCAAACCGCTGCACCACCCAGGGATCCCTTTTTTGAATATCTTACCCCCTCATCCTATTATAAGTGTCTGGGACTTTCCCTGGTGGAGGTCTCTACCTGCATGTGAGTCATTTCATTCTTCCTGGCTTGGGAGATGCTTCTCCTTGGCTTGTGTATATGGTGGGTGCAGGTGGGTGCATGTCGTTGTGCTGGGTAGAAGTTCCCATTGCTGTTGGTGTCCTCCCCACAGGGGGTGGGAATGCTTTTTTCTCCCCTGGAGGGCACCTCCCGTTTCCATCCTGTGCTGGGCAGATGCTCACACATGTACCCCTCTGGTATGTGTCTTGTCTTCAGGGTTGGTGCATGGGAGCATTGAGGCCCATGGGCCTGTCTCTCGGACAGTGGGCCTCTACCCTGTCATCTTGACACTGATGCTGGCTGCAGGGCTGGTTTTGGCTGCAGCAGCAATTCAACTGGGCCTCCTCCCTGGCTGACTTCATACTGGCTCTTGAGAGGAAGGGGCTTTGTTGCCTCAAGACAGAGGGGTAAGATGTTCCTCTGGATGCCACCTCTGGCAGAGACCCTCTGCCCTGGGCAAGGAGTCTGCTTCTTGGATCTGCCTGGGTGGTGCACATCCTCTTTGCAGGTTTTTGGGTTTTTTTTAAGGTTTTATTTATTTATTTGTGAGAGAGTGTGCGTTCATGCATGCCGCATGAGGGGGTGGTAGGGAGGAACAGAGGGAGAGGGAGATGCAGGGAGCTTCCCACTGAGCAGGGAGCCCCACCCAGGTCTGTGTCCCAGGACCCTGGGATCATGACTTGAGCCAAAGGCAGCTTAACTGCTGGAGCCACCCAAGGCTGCCACCCCACCCCCACCCCACCCCCGCATTTGCAGTTTTGAATTGACAAGACAGCCTCGTTCTCTTTCTGCTTCTGGCCTGAGTTAAGGTGTCTCTCCAGTGGACTCTCAGCCTCCCAAATGGAAGTGGACATACCATCTCACTCTTTTTCTGCCCTCCAAGCAGCCCTCTGCCTAGAGGGTCCCCACTCCAGGCCTTCCCATCACGAAGGATACTGTGAGCCAGTGTCGGGTGGGCCTTGGGGTGGGTGCCGGCAGAGCAGGATTCTGGGGTCCTGACACTCTCCTACTCTCACCTCTCTGAACCTCTCCTTCCCCATCTGTAAATACCAGCTAGCTGTCCCGCAGGACTTTCTGCCTTGGTGGAAGTCTTCCACATTTACCCGGTCTAATATGTTGCCCTGTGTAGTTGTTGAGCTCTTGAAATGTGGCTGCTGCAATCAATAAACTAAAAATTCAATTTAAGTTAATTTAAATTTAAATAGTCACATGTAGCCACCATGTTGACAGCATGGCTCGAAGGCATCTTCGAGCTCTAAAGACTTATGACGCTTGGCTGAATGTGCAGATTTCCTCAGAGTTGCAGACTCGGGGCAGGACCCTCAGCTGCCCCCCTCCCCTGGGGGAAGCCTGGTGTCACCTGACTTATATAGGAGAAGAAGGGCCCATCTGGGCTTGATACAGGCTCCAAGGATGTGGGAGAGGCTGATGGGACTCAAATGCGGAAAATAGACCCTTCCCACCGTGTCTTTAATCTGGTCTGTCCTCATCAGCACCCCAGGTGCAGCCACCTGCGTGGCCCAGAGCAGATGAGAGGGCAGGGGAGTTGCTCCTGGATGCCTTAGAAGGAGAGCCCTGAGCTGGAGCAGGCAGGGTGGTTGGCAGCCCCTCCTGGCCAGGAAGCCAGCAGGTGCGGGCCAGGGCCAACCTGCAGCCCTCGGTCCAGCGGCTCCTGTTCTCATGGGCCGTGGACCCTTCGCCACTCATGATGGCTCTCCACCCCCCTCCCGAGCTGCTTGGCTTGAGGCATGTAGCAAGTCCTTCCTGAGCCTCCGAGCTGTGCACAGCTCTCTGGGGACTTCTGACCTGGGGCTCCATCCTGAGGAGCTGGCAGGGAAGCCGACTGCCTGGCTCCCCTGGCGACCCCCCCCCCCGCCGGACCCCTGGGGCTCTGACCAATGAAACAGTTTGTCCATGGGGTTTTAGGCGTGACCCTTTGCATGTCTGGAGCTGTTGTAGCCTCAGTGACTCACTGGAGAAGGAGGGAGGGTGGGGCCAAGTTGTGGGTGAGGGTGAGCTGGCTGGCTCTCTACACCCCTCGCTAGCTGCTGGCTCAGGACCAGGATGTCAGGCAGAAGAAAGGGGCCCTGCTCCAGGAGGAAGAGTGGGGTGCTAGGATGCCTGGTGGCTTTAGATACCCAAGAAGTCCTCAGGCTGGAAGCCTTTTTTCCTCCCTGTGCTGCCTGGCTTCCTGTCTGCGGGGCTGGCTTCTTAGTGCTGGGGGGTAGGGGGTGCCTTAAAGTTGCAGCTTTGCTGTCTGTGGGGGTCAGGATGACTTCCCATAGCGGCTGCTTGTCCGGAGGGGAAGAGGTAGTTCCCTAGCTCACACCTGTGCCAATAGGCCACTTGCTGGTGGTGGCTCTGGTTGCCTCTTAGGCAGCACCTGTGTCATAAATACTGCATGTGAGGGTTCGGGTGGGGTGGGGTGGGGTGGGTGGAGGACTGGGTGTCTCTGTGCTGTTTTTACCCATGCTGTGATCTGCTTGACACCGCGACTGCTAAGCAACCACGAATTTCCAAGAGACCCAATCTTTTTCTCAGAGGCAAATTCTAATGCATTCAAGAAAACTTGTGAATACTAAGTTCTTTTTGCTGCATTCTTTCCTTTTATATTTCATTCCCCTCCAGGAGGCTCCCAAACCTTCTAGAACATTCTAGGAAGCTAAACGGGTCAGGACCAGGGCACCTTGCTCATATTTTATATCCGGGACAGGGACTAAGTCTTTCCAGTCTCCCCATCTGGCACATGGAGTGTACGCATTTAGTACATGCTGGGGGGATGTGCAAGTTAGGTGACAATCTAATGCCCTGTAGAGCTCAGGGCTGGGCTGAGCTGTGTCTGTTCCTTCTTGGCATTCTTTGCCGTGTCTGGTACAGTGTTGGACATGCAGGAGGTGATCAGTATGCGTGTGTTTATTGATCGGTTGACTAATTTCTGAATGTAAACAGTTTCAGGGTGGGGCTTTGGGTGAGGCTCTGCATGATTTTTAGCATCTCCCACACGGTTTTGCAGACATGCTTCTGGATGACTGTGCTCCTGCCATTCTGTGTGGGTGGCTGTAGGCCACGACTGTACCCAGATTCTTCCCTCATGTCTTCCTAAGGCACCAGTGCAGCTGACAGCTCATCCTGTGGCTAGAGGGCATCTTTGCTCCCAAGTGCCTGCACCTATGGGGGCCTGGCTCGGGGCTCCACGTGAGCAGCCAGATGGGCCCTGACTCACCGGGTCCCCGAGGTGGCTCAGCTGTATTCAAGCCTCTGGGGTGTAGGCTGGCCCTGGCAGGCTTGGGGCTTCTTTTGTTCAGCCTGCTGCACCTGGAATTCCCAGCTGGGGAGAGTCCCCCTGGTCCTAAGGACTGGGTTAGATTGGCTGACCCAGAGTCCGTTTGTCATCAAGGGTGGGAGGGCACCACCATTCTTGCCTTCTGCCTACCATTTGCTGCCAGACCTGGAGATACTCTGAGAAGAGGGGTCTCATGCCGGTTAAAGCTGCACCTGATGTGGTGGAGGGGAGAGAGTTACAGACTCAGAGCCCAGGTATAACAGCCCTCTTTTGTGGTTCTCCGATCTCCCTCTCTCCATCTATACAATGCAGACTACGACATTTCCTTCCTGGAGCTGTCATAAAGAACCTAATGAGAATGTTTATTTTATTATTTTTTATTTTTAAAAGATTTTATTTATTTATTCATGAGAGACACACACACACAGAGAGGCAGAGACACAGGCAGAGGGAGTAGCAGGCTGCATGCAGGCAAACCGACGTGGGACTGGATCCCAGGTCTCCAGGGTCACGCCCCTGGCTGAAGGTGGCGCTAAACCACTGAGCCACCAAGGCTGCCCGAGAATGTTTATTTTATGACTCCTGTGCGCCTGAGCTTTTCACACACGCGCTCTGTCTTGCCTTCAGTCTTCAGGGAGATCCTGTATCATCTCTGTTTTCACAGATGAGGAAGTGGATGTTCAGAGAAGTCGAGTGACTTGGCCAGGAATACACACACACAGCTGAGAGGATGCAGAGCCAGGGTTTATTTATTTATTTGTTTTTAAGATTTTTATTTATTTATTTATTATTTATTTTATTTATTTTTATTTTTATTTTTTTAAGATTTTATTTATTTATTCATAGAGACACAGACTGAGAGAGAGAGAGAGGCAGAGACACAGACAGAAGGAGAAGCAGGCTCCATGCATAGAGCCCGACGTGGAACTTGATCCCAGGTCTCCAGGATCATACCCCAGGCTGCAGGTGGCGCTAAACCGCTGTGCCACTGGGGCTGCCCTATTTATTTATTTTTAAAGATTTATTTATGAGAGAGAGAGAGAGAGAGAGAGAGAGGGAGGTAGAGAGATATAGGCAGAGAGAGAAGCAGGCTCCTCTCAGGGAGTCTGATGTGGGATTCGATCCCTGGACCTGGGATCATGTTCTGAGCCAAAGGCTCAACCACTGAGCCACCAGGCATCCCAAAATTTCATTTATTTATTAGAGAGAGAGCACAAGCAGCGGGGAGAGGGAGGAGACTCCCTGCTGAGCTGGGAGTTTGACATGGGCCGGATCCTAGGACCCTGGGATCATGACCTGAGCAGAAGGCAGATGCTTATCCGACTGAGCCCCCCCCCCCCCCAGGTGCCCCAGAGCCAGGGTGTATGTCAGGGTTTACATCTGAGTCTGGCTTCTCCTTAGCCCCCTTTCTGTGACCCCAGGTTGGAAAGTCATGGATGAATGGAATGGAAGTAGGAGAAGGTTGGGGTTTGGGTCTGGCCTGGAGAATGGAACAGGAATGCCCCACCGTCTTCTGCATTCGGGATTTTGAGCAAGCCAGCTGTTGAACATGAGCATCCTTGTCCCCCTTTCCCTAGGCTGTGTGACCGTGATTCCAGAGGAGAGAGAGAGACTGAGAAGACAGGAAGGAGGGGCGGGCTCTTGGCAAGGCATCCACTCCTGAACTGAGTCCTGCAAAAGGTCCGTGGGAAGGGGAGGGTGTGGCGGAAGGCAGGAGAGGGGTGAGGGTGGGGAGGGACCCCGTGGTGGCATCAGGGAGCTGGGGCCCTGGGTGGAAGGGATGAGGGTCGGTGGTAGCCAATGTCCACTTTCTGTGTTCTCTGCAATGCCTGTGGAACACTTCCCAGTAGAAGTGGGCACCTCAGAGACACTGCCTCTCCCCTTGCGTGCTCACAGCACCGGGATCCCTGGCTTTCTCATCTCTTGGGCTCTTGAGCACCCCCCCACCACTGTCCTGAGCCCCTGTTTCCTTACCTCATCCCAGATGGAGAAGGAAGAGGACACGACCCGGGAGTTGCTGCTACCCAACTGGCAAGGTAGTGGCTCCCATGGGCTGACCATTGCCCAGAGGGATGATGGCGTCTTTGTGCAGGAGGTGATGCAGAACTCCCCTGCGGCCCGCACTGGAGTGGTCAAGGAGGGTGAGTCACCCCAGGGTGTGGCCTGGGTGCCAGGGCGGGCTGGCAGAGGGTGGGGGCGGGAAGGCCACAGGGGCAGGGAAAGGCCAGTCCCAGTGGCTTCAGAACAGTCGGCACCCAAGGCCCCCCACTCTCCTGCCCCCTCTGTGTCCCTTGATCCATCCAGTCCTCGGGGAAAGCGGCTATGGAGGGTGGTGGCGACATCGCCCTTAGTCTCTCCACTCCACTACTCATGAGCTCGACCACTTTGGGTGATTCAGTGGGCCTCCCATAGCCTTACTTTCTTTCCTTGTCTGTACAACGGCTATTATCACAGTTGCCTTGTAGGGCAGTCAGGAGCCACCTTAAAGGCAAGTGCATTTGGAGGGCCCCCCATGTGGTGGTCATGCTCTTTTCCCAAGACCCTGTGGGTCTCACTTGCTTCCTGCTCCTCCCTTGCTCAGGGGACCAGATTGTGGGTGCCACCATCTACTTTGACAACCTGCAGTCAGGTGAGGTGACCCAGCTGCTGAACACCATGGGGCACCACACCGTAGGCCTGAAGCTGCATCGTAAGGGGGATCGCTCCCCTGAGCCTGGCCAGACCTGGACCCACGAGGTCTTCAGCTCCCGAAGCTCCGAGGTGGTTCTGGTGAGTGCCTGGCCAGCCCGTCTGTGCCCTGAGCTCTCCCTGACCGCACTGACCTGCTGGCCACTTGCTGAGCCTTGTGTCTGCCTACTGGACCTCTCTGGTGCTTCCTTCTCCTACTTTCTTTCCTGTGCACCTTCTGTTGCGCCAGCCTGTGTGTTCTTACTCGTGTGTGGCGTGTAGCTGATGTTGCCCTGGGAAGTCTTCCGTCGATCTCAGAGCACCACAGTTTGGGAACCCACTCATGCTGTCTGGCTCTTGATGCCAGGAGGAGGGTCAACTGCTCAGCAGGAATCTTCCAAATAGTCTCACAGGTGCCCCATTCTGCCTCCCAGACACCATTTTTCTGCTTCCAGAGCCCTGGCCTCACCTGTGAGTCAGAGGCTGGGCAGTGAAGTGCACAGGGATGTTTCTTTGCTCCTTCTGATGGCTTGTTTATTTAACCAACAATGGTCCTCAAAGTGAAAGTGTTAACCCGAGCACAGGGGGGTCTCAACAAATGCTTTCTGAGGAGTCCCTGAGAGGATTCCCCTTCTCCATTAAACAAGCCAGTGAGTTGAGAATTGAGACAATCCCTGGGACATGACAGGCCGATTTGAATCTAGAATTGATGTAAATCCTTCTTCCAGACCGCACAGGCAGGAGTCTACCCTGCTTCACTCCTCGTGGCTTTTGCTTCCCTGAATTTCCCCCAGATAATTTGTATTTCTCCTGTGATGTGGCCGTCAGCCCCTTTGTTCAGCACCCCCTGCTCTGCTCCCGGAGGCTCCGTCGGCCTCCGTTCTGGTCCCAGCTTCTTGTGGGGAACGGGCAACCAGGTTGTCAGCTGGGCTGTGGCCGGGCATGTGGGGTTCCTCAGACCCTGCTGCAACCTCTGCCGGCCGTGTCTTTCTGCAGAGCGGGGATGATGAGGAGTACCAGCGCATCTACACCACGAAGATCAAGCCTCGGCTGAGGTCAGAGGATGGAATAGAAGGGGATCCTGGGGAGACCCAGAGCCGCACCATCACAGTGACTAGAAGGGTCACGGCCTACACTGTTGACGTCACAGGCCGAGAGGGAGCCAAGGACATCGAATTTAGCAGCCCAGAGTTCAAGATCAAGATTCCACAGCATGAAATGACTGAAATCTCCACTGTGGATGTGGCCACCCACCCTGGCAAGACAGTGATCAGATTGCCCTCGGGCTCGGGGGCTGTGTCTCCTACTGCAGGCTCTGTCATGGACATCTGGGCAGGGTCTGTTTCTGCTTCGGGACCAGAGCTCCAAGGTGCTGGCCACTCGAAGCTCCAGGTCACCATGCCTGGGATAAAGGTGGGAAGCCCAGGAATCAATGTCAGTGCAAAGGGCTTGGACTTGGGTGGCAAAGGAGGGGTCCACATTCCAGGAGTGGATGTCTCGTCTTCTCTTGGAGGGGGAGCAGTGGAGGTGCAGGATCCGTCTCTGGAGAGTGGCAGTAATGGGAGAATTAAAATTCCCACCCTGAAGGTGCCAAAATTTGGTGTTTCGACAGTGCCTGAAGGCCAGGCACCAGTGGCAGGGCTGAGCATTTCCACACCTGAATTCTCTGTGGGGCGCCAGGGTGGCAAACCAGGCCTGATGGTTGGTGGGAACATACAGACCCCTCAGCTAGAAGTCGGTGCTCCTTCTGTCAATATCGAAGGGCTTGAGGGGAAACTGAAGAGCCCCCAGATTGCCGGGCCATCCCTTGAGGGTGACCTAGGCCTGAAAGGTGCCAAGCCACAGGGGAGCACAGGGGTGGGCATCTCTGTGCCGCAGATCGATGGCACCGTCACTGGCCCCAGTGTGGAAGTTCAAGCTCCTGACATTGGTATTCACGGGTCTGGGGGCAAACTGAATATGCCCAAGATGCAAGTTCCCAAATTCTCTGTATCAGGTTCTAAGGGAGAGGGAGCTGGTGTTGACGTGACACTGCCCACAGGTGCAGTGACTCTTCCTGGGGTGTCTGAGGATGTCAGCCTGCCTGAAGTTGCCGTTGGGGGGCTGGAAGGGAAAGTGAAAGGCACCAAAGTCAAGACTCCTGAAATGGTTATTCAGAAACCTAAAATCTCCATGCAGGACGTGGATTTGAGCTTTGGGTCCCCTAAATTGAAGGGAGACATGAAGGTTTCAGTGCCTGGTGTGCAAGGTGATGTCAGAGGCCTGCAAGTGGCCATCAAAGGCTCCAAAGTGGACATAGAGACCCCGAGCCTTGAGGGGACCCTGGCAGGACCCACACTGAGTAGTCCTTCTGGGAAAACGGGAACATGCAGTATCTCAATAGCAGATGTTGACTTAAATGCAGCTGCACCTAGAGCGAAAGGGGGTGTAGATATCCTACTCCCCAAAGTGGAAGGGAAAGTCAAAGTCCCTGGGGTTGATGTCAGAGGCCCCAGAGTGGATGTCAGTGCCCCAGATGTGGAGGTCCATGGCCCAGAATGGAACCTGAAAATGCCCCAGTTTGGCACTCCAGGAGTTGAAGGGGAAGGCCTGGATGTAGATGTGAAACTACCCAAAGGCGAAGTCAGTATTGCAGGGTCCACAATCAATGTGGAGGCCCCAAATGTCAACATAGGGGGCCTGGGAGGCAAACTTAAAGGCTCTGATGTTAAGCTGCCGGAAGTGAGTGTCAAGACACCAAAGATCTCTATGCCTGATGTGGATTTGCACGTTAAAGGCACAAAGGTGAAGGGAGAGTATGATGTAACAGTACCAAAACTCGAAGGAGAGCTAAAAGGCCCTAAAGTAGACATTGATGTCCCAGATGTGAACATTCAAGGCCCAGACTGGCACCTGAAGATGCCCAAGATGAAAATGCCCAAGTTCAGTGTGCCAGGTTTCAAAGCCGAGGGCCCAGAAGTGTACATGAACCTGCCTGAGGCTGATGTGGATATTTCTGGGCATAAGGTAGACGTTAGTGCTCCTGATGTGAACATTGAGGGACCAGAAGGGAAATTGAAAGGACCTAAGTTTAAGATGCCTGAGATGAATATCAAAGCCCCCAAAATCTCCATGCCAGATGTGGACTTACATCTGAAAGGCCCTAAAGCAAAAGGAGAATACGACATCACAGTGCCAAAAGTTGAAGGTGAGATTAAGGTTCCTGATGTTGAACTTAAAAGAGCCAAAGTGGACATTGATCCTCCAGATGTGGCTGTTCAGGGCCCAGACTGGCACCTGAAGATGCCCAAGATGAAAATGCCCAAGTTCAGCATGCCTAGCTTCAAAGCAGAGGGCCCAGAAGTGGACATGAACCTGCCCAAGGCCGATGTTGACGTCTCAGGACCCAAGGTGGACACTGATGTTCCAGATGTGAATATCGAAGAAGCTGAGGGAAAGCTGAAGGGTCCCAAGTTTAAGATGCCTGAGATGAACATCAAGGCCCCTAAGATCTCCATGCCTAATGTGGATTTGCATATGAAGGGTCCCAAGGTAAAGGGGGAATATGATGTTACAGTGCCAAAGATGGAAGGGGAGCTCAAAGGGCCAAAAGTAGACATCAGTGCCCCAGATATTGAAGTTCATGGTCCTGAATGGAACCTCAAGATGCCCAAGATAAAAATGCCCAAATTTATCATGCCCAGCCTCAAAGGGGAGGACCCACAAGTGGACGTGAACTTGCCCAAGGCTGATGTAGACATTTCTGCACCCAAAGTAGATATTAGTGCTCCAGATTTGAGCCTTGAAGGACCAGAAGGAAAGTTGAAAGGCCCCAAGTTTAAGATGCCTGAGATGCACTTTAAAGCTCCAAAGATGACTCTGCCAGATGTTGACTTGGATCTTAAAGGACCCAAAATGAAAGGCAATCTAGATGTGTCTGCACCAGAAATAGAAGGTGAGATGAAAGTTCCAGATGTGGACATCAAAGCACCAGATGTGGACGTTCAAGGAGCAGACTGGAGCCTGAAAATGCCGAAGATGAAAATGCCCAAGTTCAGTGTGCCGAGTTTGAAAGGCGAAGGCCTAGATGTGGACATGAACCTACCCAAGGCTGACATTGACATATCAGGACCCAAGGTGGACATTGAATCCCCAGATGTGAGCCTTGAGGGCCCAGAAGGGAAGCTGAAAGGCCCTAAGTTTAGGATGCCAGAGATGCACTTCAAGGCTCCCAAGATGTCCATGCCTGATGTGGACTTACACTTGAAAGGTCCCAAGGTGAAAGGGGATGTGGATGTGTCCGTGCCCAAGATAGAAGGTGAAGTGAAAGTGCCAGATGTGGACATCAAAGGACCCAAAGTGGATGTCGATGTCCCAGATGTGGATGTTCATGGCCCAGACTGGCACCTGAAGATGCCTAAGATGAAAATGCCCAAGTTCAGTGTGCCAGGCTTCAAAGGCAAGGGCCCAGAAGTGGATGTGAACCTGCCCAAGGCTGACATTGATGTATCAGGACCCAAGGTGGACATTGAAGCCCCAGATGTGAGCCTTGAGGGCCCAGAAGGGAAGCTGAAGGGACCCAAATTTAAGATGCCTGAGATGCACTTCAAGGCTCCCAAGATCTCCATGCCTGATGTGAACTTGAATCTGAAGGGGCCAAAACTAAAGGGAGATGTGGACGTGTCTGTGCCTGATGTAGAAGATGAAATGAAAGTGCCACATGTGGACATTAAAGGGCCCAAAGTTGACATTGGTGCTCCAGATGTGGATGTCCATGGCCCAGACTGGCACTTGAAGATGCCCAAGGTGAAAATGCCTAAGTTCAGCATGCCAGGCTTCAAAGGCGAGGGCCCAGATGTGGATGTGAACCTGCCCAAGGCAAATGTTGATGTCTCAGGGCCCAAGGTGGATGTTGAAGTTCCAGATGTGAATATTGATGGTCCAGAGGCAAAAGTAAAAGGTCCTAAATTTAAGATGCCAGAAGTGAATATAAAGCCTCAGAAGATATCCATGCCAGATGTTGGTTTGCATTTGAAAGGTCCAAAAATGAAAGGAGATTATGATGTTACAATTCCAAAAGTCGAAGGAGAGATAAAAGCTCCTGATGTTGACATCAAGGGTCCCAAAGTGGACATTAATGCACCAGATGTGGGAGTTCATGGCCCAGACTGGCATCTGAAGATGCCCAAGGTGAAAATGCCCAAGTTCAGCATGCCTGGCTTCAAAGGAGAAGGCCCAGAAGTGGATGTGAACCCACCCAAGGCCGACATTGATATCTCAGGACCTAAGATGGACATTGATGCTCCAGATGTGAATATTGAAGGTCCAGAGGGAAAACTCAAGGGTCCCAAGTTTAAGATGCCAAGCATGAATATACAGACACACAAAATCTCTATGCCTGATGTTGGACTTAATCTGAAAGCCCCTAAACTGAAAACTGATGTAGATGTTTCCCTTCCCAAAGTGGAAGGAGATTTGAAAGGTCCTGAAATTGACATTAAGGCCCCAAAAATGGATGTGGATGTTGGAGATATTGATATTGAAGGTCCAGAAGGGAAGCTGAAAGGCCCTAAGTTTAAGATGCCAGAGATGCACTTCAAGGCTCCCAAAATCTCCATGCCTGATGTGGACTTACACTTGAAAGGTCCTAAGGTAAAAGGGGATGTGGATGTGTCTGTGCCCAAGATAGAAGGTGAAATGAAAATGCCAGATGTGGACATTAAAGGACCCAAAGTGGATGTGGATGTCCCAGATGTGGATGTCCATGGTCCAGACTGGCACCTGAAGATGCCCAAAGTGAAAATGCCCAAGTTTGGCATACCTGGTTTCAAAGGTGAGGGCCCAGAAGTGGACGTGAACCTGCCCAAAGCCGACATTGACATCTCTGGCCCCAAAGTGGACATTGATACTCCTGATTTGGATATAGAGGGACCAGAAGGAAAATTAAAGGGCTCTAAATTTAAGATGCCTAAGTTGAATATCAAAGCTCCTAAGATATCCATGCCAGATGTGGACTTGAATTTGAAGGGACCTAAAGTGAAAGGAGAAATGGATTCTTCTGTGCCTGAACTAGAAGGTGTACTCAGAGGTCCACAAGTTGATATCAAAGGCCCCAATTTGGATGTGGAGGTGCCTGATGTTGATCTGGAATGTCCTGATGCGAAATTGAAAGGCCCTAAATTTAAGATGCCAGAGATGCACTTCAAGGCTCCCAAGATGTCCATGCCTGATGTGGACTTACACTTGAAAGGTCCCAAGGTGAAAGGGGATGTGGATGTGTCCGTGCCCAAGATAGAAGGTGAAATGAAAGTGCCAGATGTGGACATCAAAGGACCCAAAGTGGATGTCGATGTCCCAGATGTGGATGTTCATGGCCCAGACTGGCACCTGAAGATGCCTAAGATGAAAATGCCCAAGTTCAGTGTGCCAGGCTTCAAAGGCGAGGGCCCAGAAGTGGATGTGAACCTGCCCAAGGCTGACATTGATGTATCAGGACCCAAGGTAGACACTGAAGCCCCAGATGTGAGCCTTGAGGGCCCAGAAGGGAAGCTGAAGGGACCCAAATTTAAGATGCCTGAGATGCACTTCAAGGCTCCCAAGATCTCCGTGCCTGATGTGAACTTGAATCTGAAGGGGCCAAAACTAAAGGGAGAGGTGGATGTGTCAGTGCCAAAATTGGAAGGAGATTTGAAAGGCCCCAGTGTGGATGTGGAGGTGCCTGATGTTGATCTGGAATGTCCTGATGCGAAATTGAAAGGCCCTAAATTTAAGATGCCAGAGATGCACTTCAAGGCTCCCAAGATGTCCATGCCTGATGTGGACTTACACTTGAAAGGTCCCAAGGTGAAAGGGGATGTGGATGTGTCTGTGCCCAAGATAGAAGGTGAAATGAAAGTGCCAGATGTGGACATCAAAGGACCCAAAGTGGATGTCGATGTCCCAGATGTGGATGTTCACGGCCCAGACTGGCACCTGAAGATGCCTAAGATGAAAATGCCCAAGTTCAGTGTGCCAGGCTTCAAAGGCGAGGGCCCAGAAGTGGATGTGAACCTGCCCAAGGCTGACATTAATGTATCAGGACCCAAGGTGGACACTGAAGCCCCAGATGTGAGTCTTGAGGGCCCAGAAGGGAAGCTGAAGGGACCCAAATTTAAGATGCCTGAGATGCACTTCAAGGCTCCCAAGATCTCCATGCCTGATGTGAACTTGAATCTGAAGGGGCCAAAACTAAAGGGAGAGGTGGATGTGTCAGTGCCAAAATTGGAAGGAGATTTGAAAGGCCCCAGTGTGGATGTGGAGGTGCCTGATGTTGATCTGGAATGTCCTGATGCGAAATTGAAAGGCCCTAAATTTAAGATGCCAGAGATGCACTTCAAGGCTCCCAAGATGTCCATGCCTGATGTGGACTTACACTTGAAAGGTCCCAAGGTGAAAGGGGATGTGGATGTGTCCGTGCCCAAGATAGAAGGTGAAATGAAAGTGCCAGATGTGGACATCAAAGGACCCAAAGTGGATGTCGATGTCCCAGATGTGGATGTTCATGGCCCAGACTGGCACCTGAAGATGCCTAAGATGAAAATGCCCAAGTTCAGTGTGCCAGGCTTCAAAGGCGAGGGCCCAGAAGTGGATGTGAACCTGCCCAAGGCTGACATTGATGTATCAGGACCCAAGGTGGACACTGAAGCCCTAGATGTGAGTCTTGAGGGCCCAGAAGGGAAGCTGAAGGGACCCAAATTTAAGATGCCTGAGATGCACTTCAAGGCTCCCAAGATCTCCATGCCTGATGTGAACTTGAATCTGAAGGGGCCAAAACTAAAGGGAGATGTGGACGTGTCAGTGCCAGAATTGGAAGGAGATTTGAAAGGCCCCAGTGTGGATGTGGAGGTGCCTGATGTTGATCTGGAATGTCCTGATGCGAAATTGAAAGGCCCTAAATTTAAGATGCCAGAGATGCACTTCAAGGCTCCCAAGATGTCCATGCCTGATGTGGACTTACACTTGAAAGGTCCCAAGGTGAAAGGGGATGTGGATGTGTCTGTGCCCAAGATAGAAGGTGAAATGAAAGTGCCAGATGTGGACATCAAAGGACCTAAAGTGGATGTCGATGTCCCAGATGTGGATGTTCACGGCCCAGACTGGCACCTGAAGATGCCTAAGATGAAAATGCCCAAGTTCAGTGTGCCAGGCTTCAAAGGCGAGGGCCCAGAAGTGGATGTGAACCTGCCCAAGGCTGACATTGATGTATCAGGACCCAAGGTAGACACTGAAGCCCCAGATGTGAGCCTTAAGGGTCCAGAAGGAAAACTGAAAGGCCCCAAGTTCAAGATGCCTGAAATGCACTTTCATGCTCCTAAGATCTCCATGCCTGATGTTGATTTCAACTTAAAAGGGTCTAAAGTCAAAGGAGACTTTGATGTTTCTGCCCCAAAGCTGGAAGGAGAGTTAAAGGGTCCAGAAGTTGATGTCAAAGGCCCCAAATTGGATGTTGAGTTGCCAGACGTAGCTGTGGAAGGTCCAGATGGCAAATGGAAAGGCCCTAAATTTAAGATGCCAGACATGCACTTTAAAGCACCCAAAATCTCCATGCCAGACATTGATCTACACTTAAAAAGTCCCAAGATAAAGGGAGAGGTAGATGCTGATGTTCCCAAATTGGAAAGTGACCTCAAAGGGCCAGACCTCAAAGGTGACATCAGTGGGCCAGATATCGACATCAAAGGACCAGAGGGCAAATTGAAAGGTCCCAAGTTCAAGATGCCAGACATGCATTTCAAAGTCCCAAATATTTCTATGCCTGATGTGGACCTAAATTTGAAAAGACCAGAAATGAAGGGGGATGTTGATGTGTCTGTGCCTGAGGTAGAAGGCAAAATTAAAGCACCAGATGTGAACATCAAGGGCCCCAAAGTAGATATAAATGCTCCTGATGTCCATGGCTCAGACTGGCACCTAAAGATGCCCAAGATGAAAATGCCCAAGTTTAGCATGCCTGGTTTCAAAGCAGAGGGTCCAGAGGTAGATGAGAATCTTCCCAAGGCTGACATTGAGGTCTCAGCACCCAAAGTTGACATTGAAGTCCCGGATGTGAGCATTGAGAATCCAGAGGGAAAAATCAAGGGGCCTAAATTTAAGATGCCAGAAATGAACATCAAAGCTCCCAAGATCTCCATGCCTGATGTAGATTTACACTTGAAAGGTCCTAAGGTCAAAGGAGATGTGGATGTGTCTCTGCCTAAGGTGGAAGGTGACCTCAAGGGCCCTGAAGTTGACATCAAGGGCCCCAAAGTGGACATTGATGTCCCAGATGTGGATGTCCATGGCCCAGATTGGCACCTGAAGATGCCCAAGGTGAAAATGCCCAAGATAAGCATGCCTGGCTTCAAAGGAGAAGGCCCAGAAGTGGACGTGAACCTGCCCAAAGCTGACATTGATGTATCAGGACCTAAGGTGGATGTTGAATGTCCTGATGTGAATATTGAAGGACCTGAAGGAAAGTGGAAAAGTCCTAAGTTTAAGATGCCTGAGATGCATTTTAAGACTCCAAAGATCTCCATGCCAGATATTGATCTTAATCTAACAGGTCCAAAAATAAAAGGAGATGTGGATGTCACAGGTCCCAAGTTAGATGGAGACCTGAAAGGCCCTGAAGTTGACCTCAAAGGCCCTAAAGTGGACATCGATGTCCCAGATGTGGACGTCCATGGCCCAGACTGGCACCTGAAGATGCCCAAGGTGAAAATGCCCAAGTTCAGCATGCCTGGCTTCAAAGGAGAAGGCCCAGAAGTGGATGTGAACCTGCCCAAGGCTGACATTGATGTCTCAGGACCCAAGGTGGACATTGAGGGCCCTGATGTTAACATTGAGGGTCCTGAGGGAAAGTTGAAAGGTCCTAAATTCAAGATGCCAGAGATGAACATCAAAGCCCCCAAGATCTCCATGCCTGACTTTGATTTGCACCTGAAAGGTCCCAAGGTAAAGGGCGATGTGGATGTATCTCTCCCTAACGTGGAAGGTGACCTCAAGGGCCCTGAAGTTGACATCAAGGGCCCCAAAGTGGATGTCGACATCCCAGATGTGGATGTCCATGGTCCAGACTGGCACCTGAAGATGCCCAAGGTGAAAATGCCCAAGTTCAGCATGCCTGGCTTCAAAGGAGAAGGCCCAGAAGTGGATGTGAACCTGCCCAAGGCTGACATTGATGTCTCAGGACCCAAACTGGACATCGAAGGCCCTGATGTTAACATTGAAGGACCAGACGGAAAGTTGAAAGGTCATAAATTCAAGATACCTGAGATGAACATTAAAGCTCCAAAGATCTCCATGCCAGACATTGATCTTAACCTGAAAGGCCCTAAAGTGAAGGGCAATGTGGATGTGTCTTTACCAAAAGTGGAAGATGAGATTAAAGTTCCTGAAGTGGATATTAAGGGCCCCAAAGTGGATGTCGACATCCCAGATGTGGATGTCCATGGCCCAGACTGGCACCTGAAGATGCCCAAGATAAAAATGCCCAAGTTCAGCATGCCTGGCTTCAAAGGAGAAGGCTCAGAAGTGGATGTGAACCTGCCCAAAGCTGACATTGATGTCTCAGGACCCAAGGTTGACATTGATGTTCCAGATGTCAATATTGAAGGTCCAGATGCAAAACTGAAGGGCCCCAAGTTCAAGATGCCTGAGATGAACATCAAAGCTCCTAAGATCTCAATGCCAGATTTGGACCTTAATCTTAAAAGCCCTAAAATGAAAGGAGAGTTAGATGTTTCCGTTCCAAATATAGAAGGTGATGTGAAAGGACCTACTCTTGACATCAAGGGCCCAAAGATAGATGTAGACGCTCCAGATATTGACATTCATGGCCCTGAAGGAAAATTAAAAGGTTCCAAACTGAAGATGCCAGACATGCATGTAAACATGCCCAAGATCTCCATGCCCGAAATTGACCTGAATTTGAAAGGCACAAAACTTAAGGGAGATGTTGATGTTTCTGGGCCCAAATTAGAAGTTGATGTTAAAGCTCCCAAGTTGGATGTAAAGGGCCCAGAAGTGGACATTTCTGGTCCTAAGGTCAATCTTGAAGGTAAATCAAAGAAATCACGTTTTAAGCTTCCTAAATTTAATTTTTCAGGCTCCAAAGTTCAGACACCTGAGGTGGATGTCAAAGTTAAAAAGCCAGATATTGATGTGACAGGTACAAAAGTTGATACTAATGCTCCTGATGTTGAGGTCCAAGGAAAAGTGAAAGGATCCAAGTTCAAAATGCCTTTCCTAAGTATTTCATCTCCTAAAGTTTCTATGCCTGATGTGGAGTTAAATTTGAAAGGTCCTAAAGTCAAAGGAGACTTAGATCTTACAGCTCCTAATTTAGAAGGTGACTTTAAAGGACCCAAAGTAGATATTAAAGCACCAGAAGTTCATCTTGATGCACCTGATGTGGATGTTCATGGTCCAGATTGGAATTTGAAAATGCCTAAAATGAAAATGCCCAAATTTGGTGCTCCTGGCTTAAAAGCAGAAGGGCCAGAAATGGCTGTGGATTTGCCAAAAAGAGATATCAGCCTAGAGGGTCCCAGAATGGACATTGAGAGCCCAAAAATCAACGTGGAAGGTGTAGAAGGAAGCTTAAAAGGTCCCAAACTCAAGATGCCTGACATGAACATCAAAACCCCCAAGATCTCCATGCCTGATATTGACTTAAACCTGAAAGGTCCCAAGGTAAAGGGTGATGTGGACGTGTCTCTGCCCAAGGTGGAAGGTGACCTCAAGGGTCCTGAAATTGACATCAAAGGGCCCAAAGTGGACGTCGACGTCCCAGATGTAGATGTCCATGGCCCGGACTGGCACCTGAAGATGCCCAAGGTGAAAATGCCCAAGTTCAGCATGCCTGGCTTCAAAGGAGAAGGCTCAGAAGTGGACGTGAACCTGCCCAAGGCGGACATTGATGTCTCAGGACCCAAGGTGGACATCGATGTTCCAGATGTCAATATCGAAGGTCCAGATGCAAAACTGAAGGGCCCCAAGTTCAAGATGCCTGAGATGAATATCAAAGCTCCAAAAATCTCCATGCCTGACCTTGACTTTAACCTGAAGGGCCCCCAAATGAAGGGCGGTATGGATGTTTCTCTGCCTAAGGTGGAAGGTGACCTCAAAGGCCCTGCAATTGATATTAAGGGCCCCAAGGTGGACATTGACACTCCTGATATTAACATTGAAGGGCCAGAGGGGAAATTGAAAGGCTCCAAGTTCAAGATGCCAGAGATGAATATCAAAGCCCCCAAGATCTCCATGCCTGATATTGACTTAAACCTGAAGGGCCCCAAGGTGAAGGGTGATGGAGATGTTTCCCTTCCTAAGTTTGAAGGGGATCTTAAAGGCCCTGAAGTAGATCTCAAAGGGGCCAAAGTGGATGTTGGCGTCCCAGATGTGGATGTCCATGGTCCAGACTGGCACCTGAAGATGCCCAAGGTGAAAATGCCCAAGTTCAGCATGCCTGGCTTCAAAGGAGAAGGCCCAGAAGTGGACGTGAACCTGCCCAAGGCTGACATTGATGTCTCAGGACCCAAGGTGGACATTGAGGGCCCTGATGTTAACATTGAGGGTCCTGAGGGAAAGTTGAAAGGTCCTAAGTTCAAGATGCCGGAGATGAACATCAAAGCCCCCAAGATCTCCATGCCTGACTTTGATTTGCACCTGAAAGGTCCCAAGGTAAAGGGAGATGTGGATGTGTCTCTGCCTAACGTGGAAGGTGACCTCAAGGGCCCTGAAGTTGACATCAAGGGCCCCAAAGTGGATGTCGACATCCCAGATGTGGATGTCCATGGTCCAGACTGGCACCTGAAGATGCCCAAGGTGAAAATGCCCAAGTTCAGCATGCCTGGCTTCAAAGGAGAAGGCCCAGAAGTGGATGTGAACCTGCCCAAAGCTGACATTGATGTATCAGGACCCAAGGTGGACATCGATGTTCCAGACGTCAATATTGAAGGTCCAGATGCAAAACTGAAGGGCCCCAAGTTCAGGATGCCTGAGATGAACATCAAAGCCCCCAAGATCTCCATGCCTGATATTGACTTGAATCTGAAAGGTCCCAAGGTAAAGGGTGATGTGGATGTGTCTCTGCCTAAAGTGGAAGGTGACCTCATGGGCCCTGAAATTGACATCAAAGGGCCCAAAGTGGATGTCGATGTCCCAGATGTGGATGTCCATGGTCCAGACTGGCACCTGAAGATGCCCAAGGTGAAAATGCCCAAGTTCAGCATGCCTGGCTTCAAAGGAGAAGGCCCAGAAGTGGATGTGAACCTGTCCAAAACTGACATTGACATCTCAGGACCCAAGGTGGACATAGACACTCCTGATGTTGACATTCATGGCCCAGAGGGGAAACTGAAGGGTCCCAAGTTTAAAATGCCTGACCTACACCTCAAGGCACCTAAGATCTCCATGCCTGAAGTGGATATGAATCTGAAGGGTCCCAAGGTAAAGGGCGATGTGGATGTGTCTCTGCCCAAAGTGGAAGGTGACCTCAAGGGCCCTGAAGTTGACATCAAGGGCCCCAAAGTGGATGTCGACATCCCAGATGTGGATATCCATGGCCCAGACTGGCACCTGAAGATGCCCAAGGTGAAAATGCCCAAGTTCAGCATGCCTGGCTTCAAAGGAGAAGGCTCAGAAGTGGACGTGAACCTGCCCAAGGCGGACATTGATGTCTCAGGACCCAAGGTGGACATCGATATTCCAGATGTCAATATCGAAGGTCCAGATGCAAAACTGAAGGGCCCCAAGTTCAAGATGCCTGAGATAAACATCAAAGCCCCCAAGATCTCCATGTCTGACCTTGACTTTAGCCTCAAGGGCCCCAAAATGAAGGGTGATGTGGATGTTTCTCTGCCCAAAGTGGAAGGTGACCTTAAAGGCCCTGAAATTGACATCAAGGGCCCCAAAGTGGACATCGATACTCCTGATATTAACATTGAAGGCCCAGAGGGGAAACTGAAAGGCCCCAAGTTCAAAATGCCAGAGATGAATATCAAAGCCCCCAAGATCTCCATGCCTGACTTTGACTTAAGTTTGAAAGGGCCAAAGGTAAAGGAGGATTCGGACCTTTCTTTACCTAAGATGGAAGGTGATCTAAAAGGGCCAGAGGTAGATATTGAATGTCCTGAAGGGAAACTCAAATGTCCCAAATTTAAAATGCCTGATGTCCATTTCAAAACCCCACAAATCTCCATGAGTGATATTGATTTGAACTTGAAAGGACCTAAGATAAAGGGGGATTTGGACTTTTCCATTCCTAATCTGGAAGGAGATCTGAAAGGACCCAAAGTGGATGTTAAAGGCCCTAATCTGGACATGGACACTCCTGATGTTGACATTCATGGCCCAGAGGGGAAACTGAAGGGCCCCAAGTTTAAAATGCCTGACCTACACCTCAAGGCACCTAAGATCTCCATGCCTGAAGTGGACATGAATCTGAAGGGTCCCAAGGTAAAGGGCGATGTGGATGTGTCTCTGCCCAAAGTGGAAGGTGACCTCAAGGGCCCCAAAGTGGATGTCGACATCCCAGATGTGGATGTCCATGGTCCAGACTGGCACCTGAAGATGCCCAAGGTGAAAATGCCCAAGATCAGCATGCCTGGCTTCAAAGGAGAAGGTTCAGAAGTGGACGTGAACCTGCCCAAGGCCAATATTGATGGATCAGGACCCAAGGTGGACATCGATGTTCCAGATGTCAATATTGAAGGTCCAGATGCAAAACTGAAGGGCCCCAAGTTCAGGATGCCTGAGATGAACATCAAAGCCCCCAATATCTCCATGCCTGATATTGACTTGAATCTGAAAGGTCCCAAGGTAAAGGGTGATGTGGATGTGTCTCTGCCTAAGGTGGAAGGTGACCTCAAGGGCCCTGAAATTGACATCAAAGGGCCCAAAGTGGACGTTGACATCCCAGATGTGGATGTCCATGGCCCTGACTGGCACCTGAAGATGCCCAAGGTGAAAATGCCCAAGTTCAGCATGCCTGGCTTCAAAGGAGAAGGTTCAGAAGTGGACGTGAACCTGCCCAAGGCCGATATTGATGTATCAGGACCCAAGGTGGACCTCGATGTTCCGGATGTCAATATTGAAGGTACAGATGCAAAACTGAAGGGCCCCAAGTTCAAGATGCCTGAGATGAACATCAAAGCCCCCAAGATCTCCATGCCTGATATTGACTTGAATCTGAAAGGTCCCAAGGTAAAGGGTGATGTGGATGTGTCTCTGCCTAAGGTGGAAGGTGACCTCAAGGGCCCTGAAATTGACATCAAAGGGCCCAAAGTGGATGTCGATGTCCCAGATGTGGATGTCCATGGTCCAGACTGGCACCTGAAGATGCCCAAGGTGAAAATGCCCAAGTTCAGCATGCCTGGTTTCAAAGGTGAGGGCCCAGACGTGGATGTTACTCTCCCTAAAGCTGACCTCGATATTTCTGGGCCCAAGATGGACATCAGTGCCCCAGATGTGAATATCGAAGGTCCAGATGCAAAATTGAAGGGCCCCAAGTTCAAGATGCCAGAGATCAATATCAAAGCGCCCAAAATCTCCATGCCTGATGTTGACCTGGATTTGAAAGGACCCAAAGTCAAAGGAGATTTTGACGTGTCTGTCCCTAAGACTGATGGTGCTTTCAAAGGCCCAGAAGTAGATCTTAAAGGTTCAGGTCTGGATTTTGAAGGCTCAGATGCCAAGCTCAGTGGCCCAAATTTGAAGATGCCTTCGCTGGATATTTCTGCCCCGAAAGTAACTGTCCCTGATGTTGATTTGCATTTCAAGGCACCCAAAATTGGGGTTTCTGGTCCCAAGTTGGAAGGTGCTGAAGTGGACCTCAAAGGGCCCAAAGTTGATTTAGAAGCTCCAAGCTTAGATGTACACATGGAGAGCCCAGATATTAATGTTGAGAGCCCAGACATTAAAATTCCCAAATTTAAGAAACCGAAGTTTGGTTTTGGGGCAAAAAGCCCCAAAGCTGACCTCAAGTCACCTTCCCTGGATGTGACTATGCCTGAGGCAGAGCTGAATGTTGAGACTCCTGAAATTAGTGTTGGTGGCAAGGGCAAGAAAAGTAAGTTTAAAATGCCCAAAATTCACATGAGTGGCCCCAAAATGAAAGCCAAAAAACAGGGATTTGATTTGAATGTTCCTGGGGGTGAAATTGATGCCTCTCTCAAGGGTCCTGGTATGGATGTCAATGTTGTTGGGCCCGATGCCATGCTTAAAGTTGATGTGAAATCTCCTAAAACCAAGAAACCTATGTTTGGGAAAATGTACTTTCCAGATGTAGAATTTGACATCAAATCGTCTAAATTTAAAGCCGAGGCCCCTCTCCCTAGCCCTAAAATGGAGGGTGAAATCCAGGCCCCTGATCTGGATATCTCTTCACCGGGGATTCATGTGGAAGGTCCTGACATCAAGCTGAAGGCTCCCAAGGTCAAGATGCCAGGCATGGATGTCTCCGGGGCAAAAATAGAGGGTGACCTGAAAGGCCCCAGGGTGCAGACAAACTTGGATGCACCTGATGTCAACGTAGAAGGCCTAGATTCGAAAGTCAAAGCACCGTCGTTTGGCATTTCTGCCACTCAGGCCTCCATCCCTGATGTGAATGTTAGCTTGAAAGGACCAAAGATAAAGGGTGAGGTCCCCAGGGTGGGGCTGGAAGGACCAGATATAGATCTGCAAGGTCCAGAACCGAAGATCAAGTTCCCCAAGTTTTCGATGCCCAAGATTGGTGTCCCTAGTATGAAGATGGAAGGCAGAGGAGGAGCTGAAGTCCACGCCCAGCTGCCCTCTCTTGAAGGAGGCTTGAGTGCACCCGACGTTAGGCTTGAAGGGGCTGATGTGTCTCTGAAAGAGCCAAAAGTAGACTTGCCTTCAGTGAACCTGTCTATGCCAAAAGTCTCTGGACCTGACCTTGACCTGCACTTGAAAGGACCAAGTTTGAAGGGAGACCTGGATGCCTCTGTTCCTAGTGTGAAGGTGCACACTCCAGGGGTTGACCTCAGAAGTCAAGGTGGAAAGGTGAGGATGGAAGGAGACGGTGTGAAAGTGCCTGGGATTGATGCCACAACAACACTGAACCTTGGCGCACCAGACGTGGCCCTGAAGGGACCAAGCCTACAGGGAGACCTGGCTGTCTCTGATGACATCAAGTGCCCTAAAGTATCAGTAGGTGCTCCTGATCTGAGCTTGGAGGCCCCCGAAGGCAGCATTAAACTTCCCAAAATGAAGCTGCCCCAGTTTGGCATCTCAACTCCAGGGTCTGACTTGGACATGAACATCAAGGGGCCACAAGTGACTGGAGAGCTACCGGGGCCAGGCATGGATGTGAACCTTGGAGCCCTGAACCTAAAAGGGCTTCAGATCTCTGGCCCTCAAGTCTCGGCACCAGACATGGACTTGAAATTGGAAGGACCAAAAATAAAAGGGAGCCTTGGGGCCGCTGGTGAGATGACAGGTCCCACTGTTGGAGGAGGTCTTCCAGGCATCAGTGTTCAATGCCTAGAAGGAAACCTCCAGATGCCTGGAATTAAACCCTCTGGATGTGATGTGGAGCTGCTTGGTGTGAATGTGAAGCTCCCAGCAGGGCAGATTTCTGGTCCTGAAGTCAAAGGCGATCTAAAAGGTTCAGGAATAGGTTTCCAAGGGGCTGCTCCCGACATTAGCATCAAGGACCCTTCACTTAATACAGCTTCTCCTGAGTCAGATTTCGGTGTCAACTTGAAGGGCCTGAAAATCAAAGGAGGTATGGATGTTTCCGGGGGTGTCAGCGCCCCAGCTGTCAGCCTGGGCGAAGGGCACTTGAGCATCAAGGGACCCCAGGCCACCTCTGCTCTCAGCTTGGATGCCCCTAAGATTGCTGGGGGACTTCATTTCTCAGGACCAAAGGGAGAAGGAGGGGTGAAAGGAGGCCAGATTGGACTCCAGGGTCCTGGGCTGAGTGTGTCTGGGTTTCCAGGTCACTCAGAAAGCAGATCTGGAAAAGTAACATTCCCCAAGATGAAGATCCCCAAATTCACATTCTCTGGCCGTGAGCTGGTTGGCAGGGAAGTGGGGGTGGATATTAACTTCCCTCGAGCAGAGGCCACTGGCCACCAGGCTGGGGCCGGAGATGGTGAGTGGGAAGAGTGTGACATAAAACTTAAGAAGTCCAAGATCAAAATGCCCAAGTTCAATTTTTCCAAACCTAAAGGGAAAGGTGGTGTCGCTGGCTCCCCGGAAGCATCCATCTCAGGCTCCAAGGGCGACCTGAAGAGCTCAAAGGCCAGCCTAGGTTCTCTGGAAGGAGACACCGACGACGTTGAAACATCATCCCCCAAAGGCAAATTCTCTTTATTTAAGAGTAAGAAGCCTCGGCACCGCTCAAACTCCTTCAGTGATGAACGGGAGCTCTCTGCGCCTTCTACTCCGACTGGGACTTTGGAGTTTGAAGGTGGGGATGTGTCCCTGGAAGGCGGAAAAGTCAAAGGGAAGCATGGAAAGCTGAAATTCGGTACCTTTGGTGGATTGGGGTCAAAGAGCAAAGGTCATTATGAGGTGACTGGGAGTGATGAAGAGGCAGGCAAGTTACAGGGGAGCGGAGTGTCCCGACTGTCCTCGTCTTCCAGCAATGACAGTGGGACGAAGGTTGGCATCCAGCTTCCCGAGGTGGAGCTGGTAGTCTCCAAGAAAGAGTAGCAGGCCCCTGTGTGTGTGTGTACATATATGTATAAAAGTACATCAGCCTTGGGTGTGTCTGTATATAAACGCCAAAGAGAAACGCTGACAGCCTCAGCATAATGCAAAGACCCGGCCTCCCTGCCCATGCAAGTGCTGGAAAGCCAACAGACAGCGTTAATGCCTGGGTCAGAGCTTTACAGATCTAAGTGTCAAGGGCTCCAAGTTTGTCCAGACCATGTGCAGAGCCAACAGTGTTTGCCTTACGATTTCAGGTTTTTTTTTTTTTTGCATCGAATGCTGAGAGCTCCTGTTTACTAAGCAAGCTTTTGTGTTTATTATCCTCATTTTTACTGAACATTGTTAGTGTTGGGTCATGGAAACCCACTTTTTCATTATAATGACTTCTAGGGCTTTTGTTAGTAAGGGTGGGGGTGGGGTAGAAGGCAGTAGCGGGGGCCAGACTCCCATTTCTCCTAAGATTGGATCTATTCCATGGTGAACACCCAGGGAGGGCCGAGAGGAGCGTGTGGGGGTCTTGAGATCTCTGCAGCAGTGCCTTCTCTGCCCCAGAGGTGGCGGTCCTCGCCAGTTTGGCGCTCATGGTGAGACAGAATGAGACCTGTTGGCAAATGGGCCAACCCAGCAGCTCAGCATGAGGGGCTTCCATCCTGTGTATCATAGGAGAAATGTTTTCTTCCTGGCTGCCACATTCCTGATACTAGTTCTGACTTCTTTTAATAACTCTTATCATGATTAAGAAAATTTCCCACACTTTAATGGCAAATTAATTGAGAATGTCAGAAAATCGATGCTGTCAAAAGCAAATAAAGCTGTTTATTAACTCTGATGTCTTGTGCCTTTGTGTTCTGTGTCGGGAGCACGAAGCCTGCACGCCCAGTCTGATGGTTCAGACTCGGTCAGTCCATCCAGCAGATTTGCTGGTTTCATCAATGGGTGGTGGGGTGCGGTGGGGGTGGGGGAATCTTTGCTGCCTAATTCTCATGGTGAGGCTGGCTGTCCCATTGTTGAGAAGTCAAAAGAGGCTTGGCACCCTGGCAACGTAGGCCCCAGGTCCCAGCCACCAACTTTGCATCCTCAGAGATGAATATACCATTTAGAGATGGTTCTGGATGGGTAGGAGGCTACAGTTATGAATGGAAAACAAGACGTTTTCGGAGTGGTAGGCGAAGGGCTCGATCTGGTTATGAGTTACGGGCATGCCATCTATTTCTGACTTGGCTGGCTTCAAGTTACCTGCCCCGTCTGGGCCTCAGGTTCCTCTTCTTCTTTGAAATAAGAATGCTGATCTCGTAGTAGATGTTTTTATGAACTTTATGAAAAACGCTTTGTGACCAGAGTCCTCTTTTGATTTCTATATGGTCTATATGGTCTGCAGATCATATATGTTGTATGTGTGTGAGGCTTCTAGAAACTGGCTTCTAATGTTGGTCCTTGCTGAGCACAGGGCAATGCCTTCTTTTTTTTTATATCTGAATTTTTAAAAATTTTTACTTAAATTCAGTTTGCCAGCATATAGCATAACACCCAGTGCTCATCTCATCATGTGCCCTCCTTAGTGCCTATCACCCAGTTACCCCATCCCATCACCCACCTCCCTTGCTGCAACCCTTTGTTTGTTCCCCAGAGTTAGGAGTCTCTTATGGTTTGTCTACCTCTCTAATTTTTCACCACTCAGTTTTTTTCCCCTTCCCTTGTGGTCCCTTTCACTATTTCTTATATTCCCTGTATGAGTGAAATCATATGATGATTGTCTTTCTCCGATTGACTTATTTCACTCAGCTTAATACTCTCCAGTTCAATTCACATGGATGTAAATGGTGGGTATTCATCTTGATGGCTGAATAATATTCCATTGGGTATATATATCAATCTTCTTTACCCCAGAACAATTGGACCAAGCTCCTCCCCTCACCACTCCCCAGAGCTGCTGCTTCCCTGCCCTCCTGTCCCTGGAGACAGCTCTGCACCTCTCCCATTACCCCAGACCACAGATAAGGGCTCCCCCCCCATCTCATCCTCTCCGATACCAGCTTGTCAGTGGGTTTCTGCACATGGTGGTGGGGTCTGCCCACTGCGGGGAGGGGCTCCCCCTGGCCTGGCTTGGATTGTCAGCTTCATCCATTTGTACATCAGTTAGCAGAGCCTGCATCCCTGGGGGTTTTGCAGCTCTTGGTTTTGGAAAGAGGGAACAAAGGAGGTGCTGGAGCTCCTGCTGCTTTTCTTAAGATGACTTACCTGCAGTCTTTGCTTTTGTGAATTAGACAAGACAATTAAACCCATTGAGCCTTTGCTTCTTCACCCATCAAATAGGGATCCGTAGCCATAGAGCCAAAGAATCTGCTTGGGTATTTAGGTTGTCAGCTGTGCAAGGACACCACATTTAAGGGTGTGGCATCCAAATGACAGCCATATGTTTATTGGGAGCATGAAGGTGGGTGTGGGGTCTTAGTGGAGCAGCTGCAAACCCCTCCATGCAAAGAGTGAGAGTATGCATGTACCTGTGGGCACACAAATTTGCACGCAGCTGCCTTCTGTGCTGACTGTCCTGGGAGCTCTCCAAGTGCTTCTTTCACTCTTTCAGAGCTCAAAGCCCAATCCCTAGTCCTTCATCAATTCTGAAGCTTGAGGTGTGGGGTGGAACCAAATGGGCATGCTGTGTGAGATAGGTGGCCCTGGTGTCCGGAGGGTGAGGTGCACTTGTGTGCACAGCAGCAGGGGAGATGCTTAGTGGGATGTTCACACGAACCCCTAGGTGGGACTACTCAGGTTGTCAATTCTATATCAGTTAGCATTTTTTTGGGATCCCTGGGTGGCGCAGCGGTTTGGCACCTGCCTTTGGCCCAGGGCGCGATCCGGGAGACCCTGGATCGAATCCCACGTCGGGCTCCCGGTGCATGGAGCCTGCTTCTCCCTCTGCCTGTGTCTCTGCCTCTCTCTCTCTCTGTGTGTGTGACTATCATAAATAAATAAAAATTTTTAAAAATTAGCATTTTTTTTTTAAAGCTTGAGACAGGGTTGTATGCTAGTGGTGACGCTCAGTGATGGTTCCCGGGCTCTCAGGGTACGTTGTCACTGCTGGGGTAGTCACGGCTGGCGGGTGGGATGAAGGAACATGACCACTGGCCATTCACATGTGTGAAGCCTCTTAGTTGCCCACTTCTACATCAGGCCCAGGCTGGAAGCGCCGGCCCCAGAACAGAAGCCCTCCCTCCTGCAATGACTGTGACCTTAGAAGGGACAGCATGGAGGAGGTGCCGGGGGCTAGAAAGGCTTGTGGGGGGCCTGTCCCAGCCAACTTCTCTCTGCCTGGCCTGTTGGGCCCTGCACTTTCCCTCCCTCCCTCTGTTCTACCTTATGCCTCCATCACCAGCCCCCTGCCCCCCTCAGTCACTGAGGAGGGTCGGCCACGTTATCCCCAAAGTGCTGCTGGGCCCAGATTTGAGAGGTCTGACACTGTGAGGTCGTGGGTGGGACTAGCATCAGGAGACGGGGAAGGGGCTGGGCTGGGCTCCTCCAGGTCCTTCTTTGGAGATGCATGGAGCCATCCAAGGGCTGGACTATAGCCTCCACTTTATACCTTGCTTTTGGCAGCTTGAGTATGTGGGAAGAGGCATGGTTAAAGGGACATTTCAAAAATGGAGTTATTTTGGAATGCCCCATGTTCACACAAATGGCAGTAAATATTTTTTATTCTTGTGAGCTCATTTTTAAAAAAGATTTTATTTATTCATGAGAGACATAGAGAGAGAGGCAGAGACGCAGGCAGAAGGAGAAGCAGGCTCCATGCAGGGAGCCCAATGTGGGACTTGATCCCAGGACCCCAGGATCATGATTGGAGCCAAAGGCAGACACTCAACCACTGAGCCACCCAGGCGTCCCCATGGGAACTCATTCTAAATCTGTCTGGGTCCCCAGGGGAAACAAAATTCCACTGTAAGAGAGTTCCACCACAGAGGCTTGGAGAAAGATGCTGTTCAGGGAGGAGTGGGCAGGGACAGAGTGGCCAGTGAGGGGTGATGAGGACAGGGACAGCAGGAGGCTGGTACTGCCCATGGGCCTGAGGGGACCCGGGGAGGAAATGGTGTTCCTGGGATCCAGTGTGCACTAGAGGCAGAGGGGGGAACCCCCACAGGAGCCATCGCCATGACAAAGGACCACAGTACCTGCCAGAAACTGCCAGCCAGGGGAAACAGGAAAAAATGATCTTTCCTCCTGCTGGTGCCTCTCCCTGGGGGGCAAGTGAGTCTAGGTGTTGCTGGTGAAGGGATCAGCCTCCTGGAGGTAGAGGACCAGATGGAGGAGCAACTGAGGGTGGAGATGCAGATAAAGAATAACCAGGACAGTATCTGAATCCTCTCCTTTTTCTGTTAGGCAAGTTTGGATTTCTGTATATTGAGATTTCTTTTTTTTTTTTCAAAGATTTTATTTCAGACAGAGAGAGAGAGAGAGAGAGAGCACATGAGCAGGGAGGAGGGGCAGAGGGAGAAGCAGACTCTGCTCAGCAGGGAGCCCATGACCTTGAGCTGAAGGCAGATGCTTCACCGACTCAGCCACCCAGGTGCCCTGTATATTGAGATTTCTTAAAATAGCCCCCATTGTGTGAGATGTGTTTAAGTTGTGATCATAAAGTGATATGATAACTCTTGTTTTAAATAAACACACTTATGTTTGGGAGGCACTGCCATGAAAATTCTGTCAAGAATATTTGTTTCCTCTCTTTTTAAAAAAGCTTTTATTTATTTGAGAGAGAGAGAGAGAGAGAGAGAGAGAATGAGCAGGGGAAGCACCAGAGGGAGAGGGAGAAGCAGGTTCCCCGCTGAACAGGGAGTCCGATCCCAGGACCCTAGTATCATGACCTGAGTTGAAGGCAGACACTGAGCCACCCAGGCACCCCTGTTTCCTTTCTTTTGAAATGGCTCCCAATGTCACCCATACATTATTTTTTTTTTCTTGGAGAAACACAAATATTCCTGTCTTGAATTTTTGCCCATAGCCACAAGGCCTGGAAGATACTCCAGGGTTCCCAGGACAGACCCTTGGAAGGAGCACTGCCCTGGGAGGAATCAGTGAGATTAGCCATGACCTTGGTTCCTGTCTGAGTCTCGGTTTCCTCATTTGTAACATAGATCAGGCATGTGTTCTTGAAGGCTGCTGCCCATTTCAGTAGTTAATGATCCTTTCAGAAGTAAAGCTGGTTAACTAGATGGATGGGACTGGGTTGGGTCAAGAGCAAGGATGTTATTCTAATGTAGTGCAACTATTTATTCCGTGTGGTTGGTAAGTTGGGTCAAATGTTTTGAACAATGGCAGCATTATTGAATTATTGCCATGTCTCCAGTATTCCAAAGCGAAAGTGTGCTGCTCACTGGGACTTTGCATGTCGCTGGCACACATGTCTCACTGCTGCTGGGTCCCGCCTCAGCTCCGCTAAGCACGTTAACTGTGACATGCTCAGTCTCTGGGAGATGCCGCTGAGCATGTGACCAATGTTCCTTTATTTACTCATTTACTTAATTTTTTTTAAAAAAGATTTTTCTTTGGAAGTAATCACTACACCCAACATGGGGATCAAACCCACGACCTCGAGATTGAGTCACATGCTCCACTGACTGAGCTGACCAGGCACCCCTGATGTTCCTTTTTCTTTAAAATGTATTTTTCTCTCTTTTTTCTTTTTCTCTCTCTTTATTCTAAAAGTGTATTTATTTTGAATTAAAAACCAACAGAGACGTTGCAAGAATAATACAATGAATAACCCATATATGCCTTTCCCATAGATTTACCCATTTTACCTCATTTGTTTTAATCTCTCTCTCTAGGTTATAA